GGGCATGTGACATCAATTATCAGCGCTCCAAGCGGTGACAGAAACCGATAGCCAAAATGCTTAGGGGCGTTGAGGTAGCTGAATAACCCCAATACGATACTCCTAGGCTGAGATATTGGCTCCTAAACCTCCCCTCCCACATGCCTAACTCCGCCTCGCATCCCCACTCAGGGGTTCCTCCACACAAAAGGATAGGGACGCTTTGTATAACCCTACTCTTGTTGGGTTACATTATTGTATCTAGTTTGTCGGGACGTAGATATTCGTCCTAGCATCGGACGCCTGTTCGTATGCGCTATTCGTCCGAGCAGTTGTTGCGCATGCGCTGTTTATGTTGTATTACCTTGCATAAATGTAATATAATCAAGAGCTGATAATACCTAGAGTGTACAACGGAAAAACGGGAAAATTGTGCTATTTCACGACAACATTATTCTACTTTGTCTGTGAGTCTAGAATAATTTTATGGTATTGCATTAAGCAGAATTCTTTGCTCTCTAAAACAACACCAACCGTTTGTCACTTCGAATTTTCGTAACAGGTTATATTAGTTTAATACAGAGTATTGTGATACATAGTAAGTCCCTGAATAGCGGAGAAAGGTTCGTGTTGAGAATAAACCCAGTTTGGAAGTTCTAGTCTCTGAAAACGCACCAGCAAACTGCCCTGAGTGATTCGAGCGGCGAATATACTGAGCGCCATTTCTGTTGACCTGTGACGTACTTCGGTTTGAAGAGCGAATTCACCGACAAATCGGAGGTCGCTGCATTTGCCGATTGCTATGCGCAATAATTGCGCATTGGGAATCCGTACGTCACAGCTCAACAGAAATGGCGCTCAGTATATTCGCCGCTCGTCACTTAAAATTTTTGTAACAGGTTATATTAGTTTAATACATAGTATTGTGATACATAGTAAGTTCCAAGATAGTGGAGAAAGGTTCGTGTTGAGAATAACCCCAGTTTGGAAGTTCTAGTCTCTGAAAACGCACCAGCAAACCGCCCTGAGTGATTCACTCAGGGGTTCCTCCACACAAAAGGATAGGGACACGTTGTAACCCTACTCCTGTGTTTGGGTTACATTATTGTGTCTAACTGCCACTGGCAGGCAGTATTTGGCATGCCATGGTTTTATGCATTGCCATTGGTCGACGTCATGTATCATTGTATTAATTTTTTGTGACTGCTTTCAATATAAGTTATAACGTTTAACAGCCCATAGTATTGTAATGAAAATGGGGGCGGGGGTCCCAATTTCCCAAACTAGAGTAGGGTTGAGCAACACCTGCTAGTCTCCAGTGGCAGTGGCAGTGCTATATGATAATGAGTATATGATAATGAATATGATATATCTAATTAATATAATATTAATAATAGGACTAGGAGTACTTACTTAGTTGTAGTAGTACTACTACTATAACTACTTACATGAAATTAGGATCCGTCTAAACATTTCCTCGAATTCCAACAGTTTCCCTGAATATCATGTGTCGAGTGGCATACACTACCCAACAGATTATTAAAGAGATACTCTACTCTAGAATTTGAGAGGATATTATGACAGTAGATTCATAAATAATAGCACATACCTACAAATATCTATAATTACTCGTTCACGTTTGTCATAAAACAAAATTGAATTTCGAACTTCATTTTTGGGTGCTGACATGACACCTGCGATCTTGCTGCCACCCTGAAAAAGTTTTGCATTTGCCAATTTATTTTGCACGTTACAGACCGAGGGCTAATCACAAAAGTGCAATTATATTTATACTTAGTTAAATGCTATCTAATAGAACGATATTCATTTTATGACAAATTTATCCATATTATAACTGAAACTATATGTCGTTTATAAAATATTGCAATCCCTTTGCTCTTTTAAATTAAATAAGAAACACCCTCGGTCTGTAGCCCTTGGCTGAAAAGTCTATTGGTGTAACTTTTCAGATGGTATGCTTTGAGTTGCGCCACTGTCGTTGTGATCAAACTGTAGTCGTTAGTTTTAAAACAAAACAAAAATTCTAATGGTGATTGAACCATGAAATTTTTAATGTAGCGTAAGTTTAACCTAAATCAACTGAAAACAACCCTAGAACTTAGAGTCAAGTATTCCTTTAAAGCTCGTCGACTATGCAAAATGTCCGCTAATAAGTTATTATATTATATAAGTGCTTATGGGCACGTATATGTTGCCAATCATTGGTCAAGGCTTTGATCGAAAGGGTATGATACATCTTTGTTTCTTCTAAGTATCCTATATATAGATACCAAGAGTACATAATAGAAATAATCTCTATTATGTACTCTTGATAGATACACAATTGTAATGTGCACACATCAGCACACTGAATGCGAGGTCAGTTAGAGTTTCACAGTAACTTTTTTATTTACGGATAAGTCAAAATGTATAGCAATTCCTGGGTTCAAGTTTTGAGTTTGTTGCGCTTGTCGTACTTAAGAGTTAAGACTAAACTCGAGTCAGTGTCATCATCTCAAGTTTCCTGTTCAAAAATCACCAGAGTAAATACCACTCGGTTGTAATGAGAGTAAACTTCACACGACTATATATATAGTTTTCTGACATCATTCTATCATATATTGTCTACATTTGCCTGATGACAGGGCCGGACTGGGAAAATCATTCAGGCTGGGAAATATAGCCCCAGTCAGGCCACTTTTTAAGCAAGGGGTCTGGAGGTCCCGCGACTCCCCCCACCAGGAAAATTTTTGTTACAAAGACTTCATTCCATGCATTCTGGTGAATTTTAGTGCATGTGAATCACAAACTAATGAGCCAACAACTGCATGACGTACGCAAACTACGTTCGGAGTATAGTGTAGCAGGCGGCGCGGAACGATTTTTGAAGTAGGGGTGCTCAATTTATTACGCTCCACAGTGGCCGATCCAGGATTTCAAGGAGGGTGGTGAGAAACAGGGGGGGGGTATGGGGGTCCTCCCCCAGAAAATTTGGAAAATGTAGATCGCAGGAGATGGTATTTGAGGCACCTTTGAGTACATGTACAGCCCTCATTCTGATTATGACAATTCTCTTTTTAGTAGAACAATTCTTGCGCTTGCAGCGCGGCATTGATTGATGAACAGGGGGGGGGGCATTGTTTAGGTCTCGTTCATTATTAAAGACCACCGTACCGCTGGGGTGAGGGCGAAAGCAAAAATCTTTCTTGGAATTGTGGAAAAAGCTGCAAAAGGGTTGTAACCTTGCTTTGCGCCACTCAATTACATATTTAACCTGTGCATCAGGTGCCGTTGTACAGCCGCACGACTATTATACTTGTCAATAATTAATTGGTAGGCTATATATGTGTAAAAATATTGTTGCCGTATAGAAATGGCCTGCAGGCCGCAATGTAATTATATAAATATATTATATAATAATAATATATATATTTAGATCTCGAAACTCACTGTTGTTTTATGACGTGTGAATGTGTGGTAATAGAAACTTGTAGGTTATACTATTCAGGACATGAAATTAGCACCGGCCCACCGGCATGTGCCAGTAAATTATTTCAGAGGCTAGTAACATTGGTAAAACACCGGCCCTCCGACGATGAAAATTCCAAGGAAAGATACGGAGAAATCAGTAAAAATAACATATAGTGTCTATACGTAAATCGTGGTAAATACATTTAAAAACACATTATTTATTGAAAATCCCATATTTACTTATAAAACATCAAGAGATGGCGCTGTGGCATGTAAATTTGGCTGTATTTTGATGAAAAATGTTCAATGAATGACGCACTCGTTCACGTTCGAGAAAAAAAACAAAAAAAAAAAAAAAAAAAAAAACAAAAAAAAAAAAAAAAAAAAAAAAAGAAAAAAAAAAAAAGAAAGGGCGAGTGAAAATGCGGAAAATTTTCCTCTTCGATGCGAAATGCATCGGCCGGGCATTTCATTATTTACGAAAAGTAAATAGGCCGGCGAAAAATGGTAGGTACAGGAACCGGTAACGTCGGTCACGCCCCATTCATGCCCATCAACGAAGAAGGCGGGGCTTATTCCGATTACGGAGATGCGAAAATTTAACAGAAGGACGTAGCTCAATGCGCTAAACAGCGTGTTATTTTCGTTTTTGGGCCAAACTCTATCGTAGAAAACCGTTCTAGCGTAGCAGAATGCCCTAGTTCCTGAGATCGGCAATTCCATGCTGTTATGGGTCCCCACCTAAAACAATATCAAACAGAGGTGCGGCGTAGGCTGTGATTGGAAGACACAAAGTGTCAATCCTCGGCAAGCCTCGGCATCATGGCCGCATCACGTCCAGTTGCATCTTTCAGCTTACATGTCAGGGCTACTTCTGAATATTTTAAAGTTTGAGCCAAGACTTGAGCCAGCAGTTATTTTTTAGTCACCAATGAATGAAAAACTATAGCCACTGTTAACATCTATAGCCACTGTTATCGTCTGTGCTAAGCAAAGCATAAACGGGTGATGGATATGGGAAAAGAGATGTACGAAAACCTTTTTAATAAAGTAATCCAAGTATAAATGATATATTGTAGTTTAGTTTACACAATACTAGCTTCCAGAATTTGTTAGTACTTACACGACACTGCAATTTGACAATTTCATAATTCAATCGTAATTTTGTGAGCAGTTATCATTTGCCAATTGTATTTGCCACTTAGTGTAGTAAAATTGCCAATTTGCCACCATAAAATATTGAAACATTCATGTATTAAATTCATACTCATGTGTTTCAACACTTTATATTACAAATTTAATGTTTACTACAGTACAAGTTATTCACAAGTTTACACAAGAAGATATGTATAAAAAACAGTAATTAAATGTTTTGATTTTCTGTTTTATGATATAGAATTGGAAAATATGTGTCTAAAATAGCCCCTGACTGCTATGACACCTAATTATTTGTATAGGCAATATTCTGATTTAGTAGTAGATTTTATGTTAGATTAGTCTATACTTCATAATCCAAGGATGTGAGTAAAATAAGCTATATTATATTTGTTCAGGAAAAAGGAACCAGCTACAAAAAAGGACCAGATCAGCCATTGTAATACGATAGCTGAAGCACTATGCATGCCAAACTTAAGGTAAGCTACATATTTAGCTTAAAATGTAGATTTAGTAATATATAGCATCTAATTTCTAACTTTATATAACAGAACCAGTCCACATCATTGTGCTGCCTAGATAGAAAATTTTATGTCAAATCTACGTTTGTATATGGGGAGTTAAAAGTATAAATTGTTGTAATTTTAGATCAAACAGTGAGTTTCCGAAATTTCTGGGCATCGGCATCGAAACCTTACTAGCGTGCTGTGATTCGCCAGATGCTGATGTGAGAATCGTTGCTGACGAGTGCCTGAACAAGACCGTGAAGGTAATAGTCAAGAGACATTTGCTATAGTAAATACAGTGCATTGGTTAATGCAGCACCCAGGCATAAGATCTGATGTCAGGGCCAAGGTTGAGTAACGACTCCATCAACTTGAAAGTCGTTGGCAGATTACCGTTGATTACAAATAACTTCAGGGTGGGACTAGCTGTGATGCTGATGCATATTTACCTCTGCCAAGGAGCTTATGTTTTCGCCCCTGTTAGTTGGTTTGTTGGTTTGTCTGTCAACAGGATATCTCAAAAAGTTACGGACGGATTTTGATGAAATTTTTGGGACGGGTTGGTCTTGGGCCGAGAACGAATCGATTAGATTTAGGTGGTCATCTGGATCCAGATTCGGATCTATCTATCTATCTAACCTATCGAAAATAGTCTTGCACACTCTGTATCAAGTCAGTGCAAGGTGAATGTTGTCACGACAATGACATGGCGCATGTAACAATGCATGTATAGTAACGCAATGTAACGCGCATTGTACAGTAATGCCAGTCAGTGCAAAGTGAATCCCGTTTATTTAATGCTGCTGCAGCTAACATTAAATGTTGGCCGGGGCGCGTTTATTTAATGCTGCTGCAGGGACCAGTATATTTGTATGTTTTTTGTCTCAAAATAAACGCAACACTTTCTAAAAACAAAATCAAAACTGCAAATTTCATCAAGCTCTATATTGGGTGTACCAGCAAGATGGGGGGACTGCTACACTGTGGTGGAGGTTTGCTATCTCTGATTGCTCTTGTTAGGATTAGAAGTTCATGTTTTAATTTAGCCAGGTTAATTATCTGATGTTTGGGCTGGTGTGTCAGATACTGTAATGTGTGGGTTCGGTTGCAGACACTGCTGGAAACAAACCTGGGCCGCCTGCAGGTGGAACTGTATAAGGAGATCAAGAAGAATGGCGTATCTCGCAGTCTTCGTGCGGCACTGTGGCGGTTCGCTGATCTCACACATCTCATCAGACCTCAGAAATGCAGGTGTGTTAGTGCAAACAGCTGTATGGGTGGAGATACTGAGTGCAGAAGTCATGCTAATTAGTGTGGTAATGATGTGTGTTAGAGTGCGAGACGTACGTTTGCTGTTCAGGTATATATATATACAGCTCTGTGTTTATATAAGCATATGATTGCAGGCATAGACATAATGAGTGGATGTAAGTGGGCATGGATGGGTATTGGGGCTGCAGGGTCGCATAAGTATTAAGATATATATATAGGCCTGTGTTAGATTTCAGTTATAACTGGGCAGGACTAGACATGTACCAGGATTGAAATTTATGAATATCAGCATATATCTATGAGGGTACAGTAATTATGTGTGTAATACCATGAGGCACTTTCTCGTCGTTCAGGCCATACATTGTGAATCTGCTACCATGCGTAGCTCGCATAAGTAAACGTCCGGAGGAGTCAGTGCAGGAGACCTTGGCGGCAGCCATGTTGAAAATATTTCCTGTCCTAGGAAAGTTTACCAATGATGGCGAAGTGAAGGTATGAAGAAGTTTCATCATAATGCAGCTGATCTAATGCTACTTGGTTCAGTGTTGTAGTTCATAGTGAAATAAATAAATTAAAAGAGTTTTTATCATAATGAATATTTGGTGATACCTTGCAGATTTTCAGTTACATCATGTGTTAGTTAGTTTAGGTGGTAAAGATATTTTAAAGGTTATCTTCAGCTGGTGTTAGTCAGATTGTATTAAATGGGTTACAATAGATTTTCTGGCCTTGTTGCACTGGCATACTAGAGTTCATTAGCATCTGGATCTTGTGTGGAAATTATATTGAGTGAGCTATTTTCATTCAGTGTTGTGTTGCTTCTGCAGGTGTTATTAAAGGCATTCCTGCCCAACTTGAAGTCTAGCTCAGCTGTGTGCAGGCGCACAGCTGCAAGCAGCCTCAGCATCATCTGCCAGCATTCTAGGAAGCCAAAACACTTCTTTGCTTGGCTGCTTACAATTCTTCTAGGTATATAAAATCATGTTTAAATTTTGTGAGGTGATGTCCGTAATAGTTTAATTCTATTTGATGTTTGTCAGTTTTTCAGATGGTGTCACTTTTCCTCTGTGTTAATAATATACGATGTAACATATTCAGTTGTTAGCCACGTTTCCTGCTTATATTTTAATCGGCAAACTTTAGAAATTTGAATACAGTCCCACAGTGCACAAGCGAAACGTGGAGTAATGACAGTAGTTCAGCATGTGGATAGCATGGTGCCAATGTTTCTCTTGCTTCCTTCTTAACATTGGAATGGTTATGTTCATTCGTTAACCAAGTTTGGAGCTCACATTTGTGTTTGTAAAGATTCCAAAATTCTAATCCATAAATCTCCTGCAGCATCATATACGCAGCGAGCTAGAGTTTAAAGTAAATGGTTGTTTGGGTGAGCTCACGGCTTGAATTTCACTGTGGTACTGATGGCTAATGCTGTGGTTGCCCTCCTTCCTTGCTATGGAGCCTTGAAAACATCAGAATGAACCACTAGCCAATAAATCGTAGCAGCTATCCTACCTTTTTGCATCTGTGCTCTTCCCATTAATTTTATGTATACATCCTAACCTGTTCCACGTAAAAGGTGTTGATGATGAGTAACTTGCTTTAGATCTTCTTATCCTCTTGGTCCCCCCGGTGGGACACAAGGCCGTTCTTGCTTTAATGCCCCTCGTTTAAAGTAGATTTTTGCCTTGATGCTCTTCTAACTAGCTGTGGTGCCATAAAATGTCTGATTTACCAAATCGTGGTCCAATAAATCAAAATCGACACTTGTGCCAAATTGTAACAATTTCAGCCTTTTGTGCTTGTTTTGTGCAGAAATGCCGACGGCGGCAGCAGGAGAGGCTGAGAGTGCATGCATGCTGCTGGGTGTGCTGATGTGTCTGCGCCACATCGTGTCGCATATGTCCTGCAGCGACGCCGGTGACGTCGACAACCCTCTGAAGGGCAGCTTTGGCAAAATAGCAAAGGGCCTTGATCTAGGTGTCGCCACCGATCAGCTCGTCCAGGTGAGCAAGGTCTAATCTTGCTGTCGGGATGTGCGCCCCGTCAAACGGCAAGCGTCGAAATTAACGCTAAATGTCCAGAGTCAAATACTCCTGCATTTACTGTTAGTAAAAAGTGGAAATGTGGTTGTCCACACATGGCAAATAAAGCCAGACAGTCTACACTAGAAAATAGGGGGGGGGGATCACCTTGATTTATCCAGTCTGGGATTTCTTCTTTTCGATCGTCTTTTGAAACGAAGCAAAAGTTAGAACAACGTAATGAGACTACTATGATGGGAAGCTAGTCATTTATTGCTAACTGTTCATTGCTATGATAGCATCAACCATTTTCTCCTAAGCTCTAAAAACGAACCCAGTAGAACTACATCCTATAGTACATACCCAGGTTTTCCATACAATTTTATTATTGTCGGATTTTACAGTCATTGATTTAGCATCAGTAGGAGTTCGTGTGACTACCTCAAATCTCTACTATAGATATTGATATTCAAAAACACAAGCGCATAGAATAGAATATGGATTTCACTGTGGTCAAATCCTAGTGTATGATATTATACAGCAGATAATATGTAATATGTGTGTATGTACTAGTCTATGTACAAGTGTACACTTTAAATTTGGCCAGTTTTGTTTAAAGATTTCTAGTATTTAGGTATTCTTATCTTTTGTATTTTTTACCATTAATCTTTATAGACAGGAAGAAGTATATGCTTGTTACTATCCCTGTTGTTACCATAGGTACTTGAATTTACAGTCCATATGCCCGAACCCATGGTCGTGACAACCCTTTCGTCTCTACTCTGTAGTGAACTATGTTGATAATGATTTTACCATTGTAGATGTTTGAGATGCTGCTGTGCTGCACACAGCATTCAAACCACAATGTTGTCACGGCAGCATTGGAAACCATGCATCAGCTGCTCAAGCATCCCACTCCATCTCTACTCAGCATCCTTCTGTCGCCAGATGGTATCCCACAGTCGCAGACGCACGACCTAACGCAAGAGAGGCTGCACTCAAGATCTGCAAGTAAGCACCCAATGTCTTTGTTGTGGCACATGATGATGAAAGGTTGAACGTGCGAATTATGTTAAGGTGTAATGCTCACACGCGTGTAAAATAGGAGGTCAATGCAACAACGTCATTCAGACATGATCTTTTTCAGTGCTGTAATATGAACAAGGACCGAATGTTTGGCACTAACAGCATTGACTAGCCGTTTGTGATACTGTTTCAGGCTCGGCGTCTTTGCTGCCATCACTAGCTGATGATGAAGCTCCATTGGAGGATGAAATGGAAGATAGGTGAGCTGTTAATTCTAATTATCACTCGTTAATGGTTTATTTTTTTAAGCTAGAAACCATGATGGGATCAAAGAAAGACTGTGCATCCAGTTTCCATTTGGTTGTAATTCACCCCCAAAATATCCAAGTTGTGAGAGGATGGTGACTCTCATCTTCTCTCTCTGGAAGCATGCGTAAATCTAAATAGCTTGACTTTGTTTGATTACTCAATGACCAGTTATTCTATTCCAGGTAATACTGTAATGCTACACTTTGTAGTACTTATTTGAGTTTGAGAGCATTTAGTGTCATTCATGTGTTCTGAATTCTGTATGGTCATTGGCTTTAATAATTATTTTGCAGTTCTTTGCATTTTGCGGTTAGCGAGGGTGATTCTGGTACTGGTTCAGCTACCCCTCCTCGATTTACTATTGGTGCTGAGGAAGGTGATACAGACACTCCCTCTATCCGGGACAGTAATAGTCAGACAGGATTGGCGGAACTGGTAAGTCATCCGAAGTTCGTATTATTATAAAGATTGTCCCCAAGACGTTTGACATTTTTTTACTGAATTATTTTATTGGCTTTAGTTTGGTTTCACAGTAAATAGATCGGTATTGCTGAAAGCTTCATTCATGTTACCTGTAAGGTTAGGACAGAAACTTGCATGGGTTAGGTAATAAATGATTTTAAAGCTTTATGTTTTATATTAGAACATTAGTATTGGTTATGTTTATTGTAATGGTCTACAGCATCGATTGACGACTGATTTATTACTGGTTTATTAGGGTGTAGATGGGCTAGATTACTCGAGTATGGAGATAGGTGTGTGCCAGGATTCACCGCTTACAGAGATGCCTATTAGGAATATTGGTGAGCTCACTCACATTTACAATACTTCCATAAAGCTACATTCATATTTAACCTACATTTATGTTGAATTATTATGCAGTTGATGTAGTTTACACTATAAATGTTTAGAAACTGTCAGTTTTAAACTGAGTTTAGAAACTCACGCTCTATGCTCAGCGCGAATCTCACCGTGTGCGCCGGGCATTATGCATTATTGTGATCATTCACATGATGAATAAGTTTAACCGGCAAATTTCTCAATTGTACTCGTCTGTGTGTGTGTACCTGTATGTTTGTATACTCAACTGATGATAATATAATATTTAATACGATGAAATATTTTGTAGACTCAGCACAATTCCACGATGTGAGTACAACGCCTAGTGAAGATCTACCAGGGGAGGCTTCTGCAGGCCTGAGCAGTAGAGGGCAGTCGCCACTGCCAGTCTCACCAGCTTCACAGGTATTTAAACATCGAAACATTTTTCAGTTACTTGCCTGATGCCCCAGAAAATTTACTTATAGTATCAGCTGTGCATACTCCTGGATTACCAGGTAGGTATTAATTAATTACCAGGAACACATTCATCTACTGTATACGCTGTATATTTCGCGGTGGTTTAATTTTCGCGAATATCGCGAATGTGTCCCCAACCGCGAAAATAACAACACGCGAATAATTAATACCGAATAATACCGAATAATTCACTAACTGCGAAATTAACCACTCGTGAAATTGTCCATCAAGTCTGAATTCGCAAAAATATCTGTACGCGCAAAATATGGCATATACAGTATATTGCGTAAAACCGTGGAAGGTGAGAAGCATTAGCTGCTGTCACTCCATTGGTAACTGCAACACCCTAATATCATGAACATATGAAGTATGCATACTTCATATGTTTAGTTCAGGATGCTATCTCCTATTCTCTATTTTTATCTGTTATGTTAATACTGTTAGCATTGTGTTACCTTTTCTCCCATTTTTTTACCTGGAGAGAAATCTTCATTTGTCTGTAGTATCAGCCACATGCACTCCTGTATTAGGACTACTATCTAAGCATGTAATTTTATACTTACTGACACTTCATATGCAGTCACCCACACATGCACACCCTTACACATGCACACATTCAAACAAGCATGCATGCAAACACTCGTGAACATCTGTATGCATGCACACATTCACACAGACACACACACACATGCACACACGCACACACGCACGCACGCACACACGCATGCAAGCATGCACACATACACGCATGCACGTACGCACAAGTTCACATGCACGGTCACACGCACCCATGTACTTAGCGCGCTGGTTGGTTGGTTGCAGGTCGACTTCTGTGTTGGTGAGATAGGCAGCCTGTCCAGCCAGCCGGCGTTGGTGTACTGCGTGCGCCACCTATGTCGATCATTCTTGTTGACGGGATATCGAGGTTGCATCATTCCGGACAGGCACACGAGGGTTAGCATCAAGTCGCTAGCCCTCGGGTGTATAGCCGCAGCCGTCACGCTCTATCCTGCTGTGTTCTTCAAACCATTCTTCGTGCAGGAAGACGAAAATATTACTGGTTAGTCTTACTACCTGTGGTCAATGAATCTGTTTAAAAGAATGCATTTTTCAGTAACAAATTTGTTTAATAAATATTATTTTGAGATGGGCTGATGGTTCACCATGTCCGATATCACAATCTCTACTTTCTTAAATTCCAGAGATATTGTAGTACACTTCTTTCTCAAGATCACAGTCGTCATATACCTAATGAAAATTTACATTATGCTTACTGTGTAAAAATATTTATATTTATCGAATTCACTTGCTTCCGGCAGTCGATTGACTCCACAAGTACACAAATGTTATAACAGATAAGCTTCTTGAACAATAGACGAGGTTCTTGATCTCATTTGCAGGCGTAGAGGATGTGCAATTCATAGAGGACGTGTGCCTCTACTCAACCCACAGCGATCCTCAGCTGAGTGGAAACACTGCTCTGCTCATCGGCTGCCTCATCACCGCGCTGTTGAGTGAATCGAGGGGAGGAGCGATAAAACATGAAACAAGTAAGCATGTGGGTACGTAAATTCTTCTATGAGGGTCAGGCACGATGTCAGCAAAATTTTTTGTCAACGGTTTATTTGAAATGATTGAAGTGTCTGCTATTTTATTATTCATATTTCATTGATTTCATGATGAGGCAGAGGGTTAGTTATTGAAATATGTTGTGAAACTGTACCATTACTTTATAAGAATAACTGTGTTTATCATGTTTATTATTTATAATTGAAAACATTCCCTGCGATTCTGCCATTTTGATTGGGCATGATTACACAAAGTCTTTGTCTGTGGTCCTCTGTGTCTGGTACTGTTTAATTGACGTCCCTCACTGATATCTGATAGTGATATCTGATCTATAGATACTACTATGCAAGACCTGACAGACCACCTGAGCTGCGTGCTGTTGCAAAAGTCGAGTGTGTCCATCAGACTTGGCTTGGTGGCGCTGCGTTCGTGTCTGCCACTGCTACTGGACAGCATCTACAGTCAGTTGGGATTCAGTCTCGCACAGCAGCTGCTGAAGCTTGCCAGCAACAGCTATTGGCTTGTGAAGGTAGTAGTAGTAGTAGACTAGTAGTAGTATATTTTATTTATCAAAACAGGGTAGCTACAAAACAACAACGATGCTGGTTTCCATGTAGGCCCTGTTATCATACATGATAAGGTGTGCCAGTACTGCTTAAAACGGATAAACCTCACAACAAAAAGCCTATATAGACCTACTGTGAGCATACTTGCAGTGTGCACACATCACAAAATGTTCTCATTGAGCCAGAGAAGTGCTACAAACTTGGGATTTTCAAAATTACATCGATGTTATGTTACACAGCTAGCAGTAGCCAAGCTACGCTAGTGCAAATAGTTCCTGGAACGAAAACACTATATTTGTTTCTTGATTGCATAAGTAATATAGACAAGTGCCGCGGAGCGACAGCGCTCATCTAACGTCTACTGCGGTGACTCTGTGGTGGAGTGGTGGGATTCTAGTAAACCCTGTTAGTCCCAAATGTGTTCACATAC